GACGATTTTTATGTATTTGCTGACAGTAAGTTAGGCACGGACAGTCTTAAAGTCAGAAAGCAATTAAGGGTTATAAAAATACTCCAGGAGACAGAAGGAAACCTGAAGAGTGGCAGAAACCATAAGAAAAAAGGATTTAAAAAATGTACCATGAGGATGTAGTTGTTAAGATTTGGAGTGTGAATGTTGAATTAAATTCTTCTGAGACTTCAAAATTTTTAATGTTTTAGTAATTTAAATCAATTTTGTACTTTTACTTTCTGTGTCCTCTCCTACACTTCGGAGCAGCCACTGTGTACTAAGAAGAGTTAAAACAAGCTGCAGAATGTTCACTCCACGTGCCATACAGTAACATGAACAGCAGGTGGCACTTCTATGCTACGTCTGAACTTCCAAATCTGAAGATAACAAGCTGTAACTTTCACAACTAAAAACTACAGAGGGGCTCACATGGATAAATACCATTTCCAATTTGAGGGAGACCTGGGAAGGACTAACTGAAAGCCCATGTGTTCTACCTAATACTTGGCTTCCAATGATACCCTGTAAGTTTTCAAATGTTGATCCTGGCTGTGGCTACATCCATACTGTCTGCTATCTGAAGAAGCCAAACTAACTTTCGTAGTAAGCAGAACTGTGTGCAGTGAAGAAGGTTTGATGAGAGAAAGTATTTCCTCAACTGTGGCCATGTTTCTAAATGTCCACCTCTGAGCTGTTGCTGTCTGCACAGGTGAAGAAATACAGAAAAGAACAAAATCGATGTGTATAAGGACCACAGGAGGTGTAATTCTGAGTAATAAGTGAGGGCTATGGAATGAAAATAAAGGAGATATTCTTAGTTTTGTAAAACTTATTATGAAAGCCTTAGTGATTTAGCAATGTAAAGAGTAGATTCTGGGGCAGACTGCTGGACATCTAAGAATTTCAGCTCTGCCACTTCTAGCTGTGTTCCCTGGACAAGTAACTTAATGATCGCACATCAATTTTCTCATCTGTAAATGGAAATGGTAATAGCAGCACCTTTCTAATAAGATTATTAGATGTCAAAACTAGACGTACCTAGCATGTCATGAACGCATCTTAGGTATATGACAAACTTAAGATGAACTGTAGGTGGTGATACAGTTGGTAATTTCCCCATCTATTGAAATAAAACTGCAGGACTTCTGTCTTTTTCTTCTTTCCTTCCTTTCTCCCTCCCTCCCTCTCTCTCTCTCTCTCTCTCTCTCTCTCTCTCTCTCCCCTCCTTCTCCCCCCCTTTCTTTCATGATATACCAAGATCAGATGAGATTGGGTGTGTTCAGGGTGGTATAGTCCTAGACTCTTTCGTGACATACCAGTGAGATCGTACGGCTGGTTGTTACACAGCATTATTGTGGTAAGAGATATGTGACATAGCAAGGACTCAATAAATAGCTGTTGAATATCTACAGTCGATGTGTAATGTTTCACAGTACATACATGTTTCTTCATAGCCTGCTCTGTCTCTTGTCTTCCTGATTGGACTATATTTAAAAGATGTATTCTTTGATAACTGTGGAAAAAGTAAAACTTTTCAAAGCTTAGAAAAAATCTAAACACATTTTCTTTTCTTTGGGGTAGTTTCTACATCTTTTTCTTCTATTTTCTCTTAATTCGCTGTATCTGATAGTAGACATCTCACTGCATGGTCTGAGGTCTTAACTACAACTCCTCAGTTTCAACATTAGTATGTTCATTGTTGCAGAACATAAATGAAATAAAATTTACAATTTTAATCATCTTAACGGTGCAATTACCTAGCATTAAGCACATTCAAAATGTATTTGTAAAACTCCATCATCTCAAATAGAAATTCTGTACCATTAAACAGTAATTCCCCATCCTCCTTTACCCCCATCCCTGGCAATCTCTATTCTGTCTCTATGAATCCACACATTCCAGGAACCTTAAATAAATGGAATCATACAACATATGTCCTTTTATGTGTGGCTTACACTTAACACATTTTCAATTTCCACTTGATATATATAATTTCACTCTTTTTATGACTGAATAATATTCTCTTTTGCAGATGTAACATTTCATTTGCCCAACAGTCTGTTGGATATTTACTTGGCTCTTTCCCCTTCTTCACTGTTGTACTTAACACTGCTATGAACATTGCTATACAAGTAACCATTTGAGTCTCTGCTCTCAACACTTGTGGATATGACTAGCAATGGAACTGCTGGATCATAAAATAATTCTGCATTTAAAATTTTGAGGAACTGTCAAACAGCGTTCCACAACGCTATGCCATTTTACATTCCCACTAAAATTCAGCATTATTTTCTAAGCAAGCCAGACCTTTAAAAAAACAAAAAAAAGGGTAATGCTTAGACCAGGAATAAGTAGCAAAGCTTAGAGTCCTAACACTTTATTTTCGGGAGTGGGGGTGGAGTGCAGGGCTTTGAGAATGCTAAGTGGGTGCCCCATCACTGAGCTACATTCCCTAGTCCTGCTATCAAAACTCTTAATAAATCACCCTGAATTATAAATAGAGCAATAGTCATTAACATACATAGTCGAGACGCCCATAGCAATCATTTAAGGACCTTCTTACACCTGCAGGACTCTAAATTCTACCCAGTGTGTGCTGAAGCAGCTCTGAAAATGACACCCCTGAATCAGCACAGCATGCACTGATATGAGACTCACACTCACCAACCTAGATTGCTGAGTTCTTGCGGGCAGAGAAAATACTTTGATCATCTTTGTATCCCTCAAGGCCAGACATGCAATAGATATTTAACAAATGTGCATTAATTAAATACTGTATTGCAATCTAAAGCCACGTTCTACCTGTTTAATTGCTCTGTATAGTAGTCATTAAAGCTAAACTCAGTCGCTGTACAGTTAGTCAGAGAACCTGTAATTACTGCATATAATACCTTTTATTTGCCTAGAATATGTATCTTACCAGTTGTGATCTACCATGCCATTTTACTACCAGGAATCTTTAGGTAATTTTTTTAAAATCTTACCTCAAAGCATGATGGAAACATGCCTGCATGCTTTGAGGCAGTGTTGAAAAAAGAAATAAAAAGGGAAAGGGTGGGCATAGCCTTGGAAGAGCTATCTCAGTACAGTCGCTAAGACTGTTATCTAAGAATGAAGTTTATAATTTGTGAACATTGATAACATTTTGTAGCGCCACCAATTTCATAATGTTGCTGAAGCAGAAATGATACTATGTGTGAGAAAGCCTACAGGAAAAATGGTTACAGTTGCTACACACCCTAGAGCCTTAAAACTACATACTTCTAAGTCTTCGTGTTTACTACCCTAAGGCAGATGTAAATGAGCAGAGGTGAGTAGAAACAGAGCAGAAAAACATGGAGTGCACGAAAATTTGAATAAAATGTTCATTCATTACAAGTAACCAGCATCTGTATCTACATCACACAGGGGTCAGCGTGGGTAAAACAATGGTTTGAAAAACTCAAACCGGGGATTGATTCGTTTATTTCACTATATTAACAACTAGCCAGCTTTCCTTTTCAGATCAAAACTCCCTTCTCAGTCTTAAGCCCTAGCAAGGACGGCGGACAAACAGCCCTCCGCGGCACGCGTGCCAGAGGTTCGCCACCCCTGCTAGGGGGCCAGACGTGAAACACGTGCGCGCGGTCTCTTTAACGTGTAATAGAACTCTGATTGCATCGATCGCAGGCTCACAAGGCCTCCCTTCCACCGCTCTCCGGACTGACCTGGTTACCATCCCTCTCCCGGCGGGACGCCGACAGGAACGTTGGCGTCAGTGAACCCTGGCTTCGGAGTGCGGCCGCCCCCGACTCGGAGCTTCCCACCCGCTGGCAGGCAGAGGCCAGCTCCCTCCGGCGCGGGCGGCGTC